CTTGAGGCTTCGGTACGACGATTCTAACTCGGTGTGCCTGTGTATGCCCTGTGCGTCCGAGTGCATAGCTTCGAGAAATTCGCGGCCTTTCTCGTATGGGCAAGAGCCAACAATGCGGGTTTCGTCCCATGCAAATTGGTGTCCAGTTTCGAATGTGTACATGGCAACTTCGGACAAGTGATATCGCCCCTTTACCACTCGTTTACGTTCGCGTAAGCGTGTGAAGGCTGATCTTCCTGTCTGTCCGCAACAAACTGCACTGCTGCCGCCACTAAGGATCTTGTAGATGACTTACTTTCTGTCCAGGTAGCCAACCCTATCCTTAGGGTGTACGAGCCGATTTCGTGGAGTATTCGTCTGTTTGTGCGCCACTTGGATTTGATGCTTCCTCAGGTGTCTTTCAACGAGTTCGGACACGTTCTTACTATATGGATGTTTTCGCCATCTTTTTGGATTGGGCGCCTGATCGGGACAACCTAGTCCCCTTTCTTTTTGCTTTGAATGTTGTTATCTCATGCATCGACTCACAAACTGTCTGAGGTAACCGTTTTTTTTAAACAATTTGACCAGTTAATTGAGTACGGCTTGGTAGACTGACCAGTGTCTAACATATGGTTCGCAATGGAAGACCATTGTATTCTATTTCCTTATTCGAAAGGCCACTTAAGAATATGCTCAGTGGACCTGGCTATCAAGTGGCTTTACGTCCACCCAATATACTTGCTTCCGGAAGTACACGTGTATTCATACACGCAGTTTGGAGTGGCGTGCAAGGTGTTCATCGATGGCTCCCATCAACTCCCATTTTTTACAACTTGCATCATCAGCCTCGCTACCCCGGAACTGTTAATTGGTGAAGTAAACAATTATCTATGCTTCTGGACTCTCCTGTTGGTTAATCCATATATTTGGTAGTTACCGGGCAGCTAGAATGCCGGAAGCATGCAGCGATTGGCTGATATAACGTTTGATAACGGCGCTCCTTGATGTGTGTAGTCGCATGTTCGGGCCACCGAGGCAACTGTAATGAATTCGGACTTGTGGACATTAAGCGGCTAGTTGATGCGCACGCAGCACTGTCTGAAGTTTCTGGTTGGATTCTTTAACCAAAGAGTTATCGTCTGCTGTCAGAAGACAATTGCCTATCTAACTTTTGTAGTTCTTTACTTAAGGCCAACAAATGTTTACAAAGACGGGAAAGGCTACAGGCATTTTTTATTGTAAAACTGAGCCCAAAAGTAAACAAATATACTGAAAACTGTTCCAATTTAAATAGAAAGGTTAGCTATTTCCTTTATAATAGAAGATGTGTCCATAATTTTAGGTAAATCAATAAACTGGCCGAAATTTCCCATTCTGATCTTGACTTAATCTTCAAAAAAATAAAGTACGCAGACATCCAACGCCAAAATAAATAATTAAAGCTGTTTTTAAGAGGTAACTTGTCATAGAAATTTTTTAATCAATCTTATGCGTATTCATTCGCGACTTTGGTTGTAGACGATCATTTTTCTCGGCATTGAGTTGAGATGTTTGGATGGTTCTGAAACCATGACACACGCAGACAGCTGCATAATAAAAAATGTTTGGAAGCTCGTTATTTAGGTAAATAATTTCAAGATATATCCTTTTTTGAAGGTTTTGGTAAGCATGCAGAATGCAATTATTATTTATGGTCAATTGACTGAAGTCAGTGAAAATCGTAAAGTCTTAGTTAGCATTTCAAGGAAGATCTGAGCCTCTTCGTAAGTGAAATCTCAAAATAAGTATATAAAAATGTGACAGAAGGCAATTACTCATAGTGTACAAAAATTATACGTTTATAATTGCACCTGAGAAAGCAATGGATGTTGCCAAATGCAGTCAACTCATTGCATTAGTTAAGTATGTCCATGCTGTTGCCATAAGTACAGCTGTCCTGTTCTGTGACCACCTGAACACAATAGCGAAAGGAAAGGACTACTTCTAGCATGGGGAGCAGTCCTTTGCGAATTATGATTTACCTGTAAAAACTATCAGCTGGATTAGAGGCCGCACTCTGAATCACCATCCCTTTAATTTTTTTGTGTGAAGGATTTGGAAGTAAATTTGGTTTTGGTTTACCGTACGAAAGTCCGCTGACTGCGGTGTGGAATGCTTAAACGTGTTTTTTTTTAACTGTGAAAAGAAATCAAGGCATTTCTAGAGGAATAAGGCTTTTGACCTGGTTAGAAAAGTGGAATTACAAAGATTTTAATCAAAAGTTAGCCTACCTAAATGATCTTTTCGCCCGTATGAATGACCTGAATGTATATATTTGGGGGGAAAATGCAAACATATTTACGTACTGTGGTATGAATGAAAAGTTACAACTTTGGTATCGAAGAGGTGGACGAGATAACCTTTATAATTTTCAATCATTCGAAGAACTTTTTGACAACAATAAGTTTCTAATGACAAATGTATGTGGAAAGATCCCAACGGTCACTTTTGGCCATTTTAAAGGAAAAGAACTGAAAATTATGGAAATTTCGTTTTGGCAAACAATTGTTTTCGGTCATTCATCGTCAGGCCGGTACATTGACAATTAAAATGAAACAGAAAATTACTTTAACAGATGTAGATTGTTCTTATTCGCAGAACTTCGGAGATATAGATTATAAACCTATACAAAGCCAATTTGAAGAATAGTTTGGACAATGAAGAAGGAAATGAAGATCTATTAGAACCGCACATATATCGTTTTCTACATACGGTTTAACAGCAATACCTTTTGAAGACTATTGCTATTCGACTATTACTAGGCTCCTAGATATTAGTGGAACAGCACTCACTATGCTCAGTCCATTTAAGACGACATACGTATACGAGTCTTGCTTTAGTATCCTCCTATCAAACAAAACAACATTTAGAAATCGCATGAATGCACAACCAGATTAGCGAATTGTTTTAAGCGAGAAAGTGTCATTATTTTAAAAACTCTCATCCAATAAGCAGGAACAAAAGAGTTATTAATCTTTTGTTGATTATTAAAATTTGAGTATTGAAATTGTCTTCGTTTACTTCGAAAACTGCTTTAGAGGGTGAGGAAACATATGAAATCTTTTAGGGCCGCGAGACGTGAAATAACTAGTGGCATCTCGCCTAACGTGCTCAGTTTATAGTTACTGTAAATCATCTTATGCAGAATTAATCTGAAAAAATGGACGAAAATATATGTTGCTTCCTCAAGGTGCAATGTTTGTTTTAGAATGCAAACATTTTGCACTTCATTTAAATAGACTACTGTCTCCCGAATCAAAAATATTTTACATGCGATAATCCTGTGCTTTGTTTTTTAGGAATGCCCGGGAATATCTTCCTGCGGCTTCTGAAACTTACAATTCTGCCGCTCATATCTTCTAATTTACTCCTGGGTAAGTCGGATTTTAATTCAAAGCAGAATGCATTGATGTGTATAGCGCCTCAGAAATTTTCTATATGGTATACTTATATTGCTGCAAAACACCTTTTTTTATATAAATGATTTGATTTTCCGCGAGGTTAGGAGGAATTCGTTTCGATATGTGCCTGTAAATTTGATCGCATACCCAGTACCACAGGGTAACAACTTAGGCATGAGCTGCTTTGCGTTCCCTACTTCACAGCATCATTTTAATGGACTAATTTTAGTACCAGCATGAGAAGTTTAGAAGACTTATTTTCTAGTTATGATCAAAACCTAAAAGTTTTGAAGATGGCTTATTCACCATCATCAACCATCCGTAACAAGGCGTGAGTTTCACAGGACCTAAAGAAAGCATGAAATATTTTAGTTACTTCGAAAAAGGCCCACCTAGTTTAATGCGTTCTTTACTTCTGCTCTGCCATCCCTTGTAGTCGTTGCGGGTTTGGATCCGAAGAAGAACGGAAGGCTTGGAATCATCGGCATTTCTTATGTCATTATTCTAAACCTCGTCAGCGCAATCATTGGAACCGCATGCGCAGCGTTAGTGAGACCCGGTAGGTTCTTTTATTTCATATATAAAAGTAAATGACTTTCATTGGGTTTAAATTGCCACACCAATTTTAATTATGCAGTCACCCAACAGGCCAGGCAGGCGTATTCACACATTTCCCCGCGTGTTATCGGTGTTGCCCACGGTCTTCTGTCTTTTTTATCGCAGCTACATCAGATGTGTTGTTTTCCATGTCCTTATAGACTCATACAGTTAAGCGGGCAGCTAGGAGGGCTGACAGCTAGGTGGTGACCTGTTGCTGGCGGTGGGAAAGCGAGTGAGAATTTAACCTCGGCGCGCCCCTTTCCTCACTATAATGAGAATT